AAAATGATTATATATATTCAAAACTATTCGAGAAATATTTTAGAAGAACCGGAGCTATGACTTTCCGACCAGCAGAGCACACTTATCTGCTTAGAAAGGTATTTTCCGGGGATTATGTATTTTTAAAAAGTAACGGAGACTTGCCACTGCCTAGAACTCTTCGGAAAATGAATAACTGTGTTCAGAACTACACGAGAAATAGTTTAGAACACGTAGAACTATCGAAAATCCGTCAGCGTCTTAATAGAAATACCCCGTATCAAATTCCAATGTCTATAAGCCAATCAAGTAGTTCACAAAATAGTTATGCGTCCACTATATCGAAGAGAAGATGTAAGGCTCAAATCTTATTTTGTAGATTATAATTAAAAAAATTGTTTTCCGAAAAGATCTTTTATGTTTGTTTTTGATAAATTTTCAGTAACAGCTGCACATACAATTTTAATGATATCTTAATTATTGTAGCTAATCGAGTTACACAGGCTGGACAATTAAATTCATCGAGGCAGCACTTCCAACTTATTGCTCAGCAGCAGGCCGATGCTGAGTCGGTAAATCTTTAATTGACATAACATGTATGGTTTTTTAAAAACAAATTATATAATTAATTCATGTGAAATATATAATGTTTATAGATGCATGCTAAATCAACCCAAGTTCAAGCAGAGGTTTCTAAAATAATGGCGCTTGCAATTACTGAAATTGCACATGCCATGCAGAAGTTTGCAGATTCTGCTGCTGTACTAGCCACTAATAATACCGAATTTTAGATACGAGTTTTAGAAAAACTTACAACAGTCGTAGAAAACCTGTTACCTACTTATCTCAATGAGTAATCTCTGTGATAGGTAATTATTTGATACATAGCTCTTTATATAAATAATATTGTTCTTTAACTGTTACTACATTTTAATATGTAAAGGTATAGCCAGGTAGTAAGCCAAAAGTCAAAGGGCGCGCGTCGCCTGACGGCGACGCCAGCTTGCGGCGATCGCGTGCGCGGCTAAGATTGGTCCCCGCGGATCACGCGAGCGGGACCGCCGTGACCCCCCCCCCCCCCCGAAGCGGGAGAGGACCACGGCAGTCGTAAGTTAGGCAGCGTAAAAGTGTGACGTGGTACGGGGACCGCCCGTGACCACAGTGACGCGGAATAAAGCCATTGTGATCAGGCTCGTGTGTGCTCATTTGCCCGAGATCCCACCCCTCGTGTGCGCTGGACATCCTGACACCCGGCTCCAATCCGTTACCCCGGTGGAATCGAGACCGACCCCCGTCACAGCTTCAGAAGTGGGATCGCCCACGGCTCCTCCGCGTGGCCGGGATCTCGTTGGGCTCGAGCAACACGGTAGCCGGTAAGTACGTGTTGGCTTAGCCGGATTAAGAGTAGTGGCGCCGGCTCACGGCGACCATTTGGTGCACGCATCGACGGGCTCAGGCGTGCTCGGCGTTGTCCGAAGACACCATCTCCACAAACTCGTCCCCAGGGTGTGCCCTCACGCGCGTTACGTGGTCATCGTAAGATTTCCGTTCGTGCGCGTTGAGGCAATCACGTGAACACCTCGCGTACTTCTCCGCGGCAAGATTTCCGTTCGTGCGCGTCGAGGCAATCACGTGCACACCTCGCGTACTTCTCCGCGGCAAGATTTCCGTTCGTGCGCGTCGAGGCAATCACGTGACCACCTCGCGTACTCCTCCGCGGTCAGATTTCCGTTGTGCGCGTCGACACCAATCACGTGCCCACCTCGCGTACTTTCTCGCGGCAAGATTTCAGCTGTGCGCGTCGAGGCAATCACGCGCTCACCTCGAGGACTTTCCCGCGGCGAGGTTCCCTTTGTGCGTAACCCGCAACAGCGTGCGCGCCGCGTGCCGTTCCGTGGCGAGGCCGCCCCAAGTTTTTCGTTCTTGGAAATCGCGTTTATTGTGTGCGGCGCGGAGAGCGCACGCATTGAGCAAAACCTCGGGGCAAACCCGCAGAAAGGATGTCAACCACGAATACTCAGCGTCTACCGCGCAATTCGCCCATAGTGAATCACCAGGCAAGACTGACAATGGATCAGATCGCTAGAGAAAAACTCGACGAGAAGTCACTCAAGGACCTTCAAAAGGAAGCCGTGGAGTACGGATTGACCCCGTGCTCAACCAGAGAGGGTTGCATCGATCAAATTTCAACGCACTTGCTTAACCATGGTCCCCTCGTCGAGCTGATGACCGGCGGCGCGGCAGGAGAGGATGATTCCAACCCTCCCGGCTTTTCGGCACCGCCGGCCTACACGGACAGCGGTATCACCGCATCCGCCCGCATTTCCGATAGACAAACTCAAGCGCCAACCCCAGACGCCGCGTTTTCACAAATTCGCCAATTCATGGCCCAGGAAATGCTGAAGTTTCAAGAATCGCAAGCAGCCCAACAGCAAGAGATGCTGAACAAAATGCTGTCGGCATTCAACCTCGACGCTATGAATGACCGACGCCCTGCTAGTCCAACAGTCCAACCGGTCGTTCACAACAGCAGAGTTAGTCCACAGCCAACCGAAAGCTTCTCAACAAGTTCTACAAATGCTGCAAGATTCCTGGCAGCTCAGATCCCTCAGTTTGGCAGATCCGAAGAGGAAAATGTGGAATTACGGGTGGAAAAAATTGAGAGCATCGCAGAAGCCCACATCCTTCCACCAGTCGCCAGGTTGTCGGCGGCTACCATTAAACTTACGAAAGCAGCAAGGAGGTGGTTCGACCTCAGTCCAGGTTCGATTAACAAGTCATGGGATGACTTCAAGACAGCCATCATTCGCCGGTTCAAGAGAAGAATTCTGTTTAGCGCCGTCATGAAAAAGTCAGACGACAGGAAGTGGCAGTTCTCAAAGGAAACATTTCAAGACTATGCGATGGAGAAAATATCTATTCTCCAATGCTTAAGGCTACCAGAAGACAGTATCATTCACTGTCTCATCGATGGAATCAATATCATAGCCATTAAAGCGATCGCTGCGTCCATTCAAACAGACTCGATAGACGAATTTTTGGAACAGATGCACCATATCACAACCACATGTGGTACATCCGCAAAGAAGTCGCCAGTGTTCAACCCGAAGATCGACAAGACTAAACCCAAACAAGAGGGATCGTCCAAGACGGACCTTCACACGAAGAACCCAGCGGAATCGTTCTGCGTGTACTGCCGCAGCAAGGGCCACACGCGCGACGACTGCTTCAAACTCAAGAAAAAAGAACAATCTACGAATCCAGGGAAGCCAGCCGCCACAAAGCCAGCCCCCCTGATTTCTACGGTCACCGAGGTCACCGAGGTGCCCAGCCAAGCAGAAACTGTCCTAACAGACTTACAGACTGTTGCTCTCGTTGAAGGGCCACGGAAAAGAATCGCCTTTAGTTCGCCAGTGGTCAAGGTAACCAAATTGAACGATTGTCCGTGCGATTTGTCAGCTCTTTTCGATACAGGGAGCCCGGTTTCATTTCTGAACGCGTCGGTTTGCGAAAAATTTTTCCCAAAATTAGGCAATAATAAAAATAAGTTTCCTTCGTTCAAAGCCATAAATGGCTCACCACTTTTCGTATCTAGAATTATCGACACATGTATCAAATTAAATGCGTTCCCCGAACACTCAGCGTCGATTCGCTTACATGTACTTGACGACCAATCGACTTCAACGGACATGATAATTGGTCTTGATTTCTTGAATAAACATAATTTAGAGGTCTTAATCAAACCCGCTAGTGAAAATCCAATCAAAAACCCCAAAAATTCGAGCACCGAAACAAACGACACGAATAAACTGGACTTGCTCGCAGAGGTAGCTTCAGTAGAGGTAGCAGAAAAACCTTACGATACATTGGATTCAGCATTAGAAAATATTTCCGTTGATTTCGATCTGTCGACAAAAAAGCATCTTATCGAGACAATAAAAGAAGTCGATAGTGCAAGCATCCCAGTGATCGATGACGATCACTCCGTTAAAATCAATTTAAAGGAGGATTCTGTTTTTGCGTTCGCACCAAGGCGTTTCGCGTGGTCGGAACGATTACAAATTCGAGAGATCGTAAACGATCTGTTAGAAAAGAAAATTATCAAGGAGAGCAACTCGCCGTACTGTTCGCGGATAGTACCGGTGAGGAAAAAAGACGGAAGTCTACGCCTTTGCGTAGATTTGCGTCCTCTTAATGGGAAAGTTAATAAGCAAAAGTACCCTTTCCCAATAATTGAAGATTGCCTCGCGAGATTAGGTAACAAATCAGTCTTCACGCTTTTGGACCTAAAAGACGGGTTTTATCAACTCAAAGTACACCCTGAATTCACAAAATTTTTTGCATTCGCCACACCAGATGGGCAATATGAATATTTACGTCTTCCTTTTGGATTTTGCGAGGCACCCGCAGAATTCCAAAGGCGACTACTGTTTATTCTTCGTTCGTTAATAAAAGAAGATAAAATTTTAGTTTACTTGGATGACATACTTATCCCGTCGTCGTCGGTCCAAGAGAATTTACAAATTCTCAAACAAGTATTAATTTCGTTAAAAAGCTACGGCTTATCATTAAATTTGGGGAAGTGTAAGTTCTTAAGAACCACCGTAGAATACTTAGGTTACATTATTTCCTCTCAGGGGATCACCCTCAGCCCCAGGCACGTCGAAGCCATCCAGAAATTCCCGCAACCACGGAAAACAATCCACTTGCAGAAATTCCTGGGCCTTACTAATTACTTCCGCAAATTTATTGAAAACTACGCCACGATAGCAAGACCCCTACATAATCTTTTGAAAAAAGATTCACCGTTTAGGTTTAACGACACTTGCGTAAATTCTTTCAATACATTGAAAGAACGGCTTATCTCCTTTCCAATCCTCCGGCTATACAGCCCAAATTTGCCCACCGAGCTGCATACGGACGCTAGCACACAAGCAATAGCTGCAATCCTTATGCAGAAGCAAAAAGAAGGCCAATGGCTACCAGTATCATTTTTTAGCCAGGCCACAAACCAGGCAAAAGCAAAATATCACAGCTTCGAGCTGGAAATGCTCGCGGTGGTGAGCGATTGAGAGATTTCATATTTATCTGTATGGATTGGAATTCACGATCGTTACAGACTGTCAGGCTCTTATCTTCGCAATTAAAAAAGCAAACCTAAACCCACGTATAGTCAGGTGGACCCTGAAATTACAGGACTATAACTTTCACGTCGTTCACCGCGAGGGACGTCGGATGCGACGCCCTTAACCGTGCCGTAGCCCTCGTGGAATCCTTCCCATTAGAAAAAGAACTGCAATTCAGACAACTACAGGATCCGAATTTGAAATCCTTAGCACAGTCTCTCGAAACTCGAGACAATGAAAAATACGAGCTTATAGACGGGCTCATTTTCCGAAAATACCTTAACAACTCACTTTTCGTAATCCCAGAATCCATGATATTTAAAATCATCCAAATTTACCACGATGACATGTCTCACTGTGGATTCGAGAAAACCGTTCAGGGCATTTTATCCCATTATTGGTTCTCCTCCTTAAGGAAAAAGATTCGATTGTATATAGACAACTGCCTAACGTGCCTTATCTTCAATACATCCACAAACACACGGGAAGGCGAACTGCAAATCACAGATACGCCACCCCGTCCCTTTCACGCGATACACATAGATCACTTTGGGCCGATCACCCCAACCCAAGACGGGTTTAAGCACATCCTGGTAATAGTGGATGCATATTCGCGCTTCACATGGCTCTATGCCACTAAGTCGACAGGTTCAAAAGAAGTCATTAAAATCCTTGCAGACTTATTCAATATTTTTGGTAACCCAAGAATCCTTGTATCAGCTAGAGGCACAGCGTTCACCTCCCAAGAATTCGTTTCCTTTATGAAAGGGAAGAATGTCTCACACCGCCTAGTGGCAGTCGCAGCTCCGTGGGCAAATGGACTGGTGGAACGCATAAACAGATTCCTCAAGTCGTCTCTGCGCAAAATAGTTGACGACTTACAAATCTGGAATAAGCACTTAAACGCGGTCCAATACACAATTAATAATACGATCCACGCAGCATTAAAAGCGACCCCGTCGAAAATCCTTCTAGGATACGACCTTAGTAATCATCCAGATACCGACCTGGTACAATTTTTAGAGAAGCTAGCAAAGAAGCATTTAGATATTAATACCGACCGCGAAATCAGTCCAGAAATCGCAATAAAAGCCACTAGCGATATTAAAAGTTATAATAAAGCATACTACGATGAAAAACATAAGAAACCATCTACATATAAGAAAGGCGATTATGTTCTCATTAGAGATACGGTACTTAAACCGGGAGAAGAAAGAAAATTAAAACCATTGTATAAAGGACCATACCTTGTGGCAAAGGCCCTCAACAAAAACAGATATGTCATTACAGATATACCAGGTTTTAACATTACTCAGAAACCATACAACTCAACACTTTCCCCTGACAGGATGAAACCATGGATAAAACCCCCTGTATAGTTACACGCTGTCAGGTTATTTTCCCTCTTCTCCACAAAACGATAAGTTAAACTAGCCTGCGTATCGGCTGTTGAACACGACCCAGTCTAGGTACTTGATTACCCTGTGTTCACGTCAATATTAAGTTCAAACATACGCACTCATGATTTTAAGTTAAGTTAGTTATACACCTCATTAATATATAGCGTTATGTTCTATCCTTTCAGTTTAAATATTTATACTATCTCAAATGTTTACTTTTGGCATACTCAGCGGCTAATAGATTCTAAGATTAGCGATCCACGTCGATATTAAGTTCGAACATACGCGCTCATGATTTAATTAAGTTAGCTTATACACTTCATTGATATTGTACATAGCGGTATGTTGTATCCTTTCAGTTTAAATATTTATACTATCTCAAATGTTTACTTTTGGCATACTCAGCGGCTAATAGATTCTAAGATTAGCGATTCACACCTGGTGACGCGCAGAGCCGCATACTCGTTTACTTTACACGCTTACAGTGACTTTGTTGTTATACATTCTACAAGTTCCAGTACTCCCGTTATAAACGGTACGTCGCGTTCAAGACACTCGAGACGAGTGTCAAGTCAGAATGGCCGAGGCTGTAAAGATATAGCCAGGTAGTAAGCCAAAAGTCAAAGGGCGCGCGTCGCCTGACGGCGACGCCAGCTTGCGGCAATCGCGTGCGCGGCTAAGATTGGTCCCCGCGGATTACGCGAGCGGGACCGCCGTGACCCCCCCCCCCCCCGATAAGCGGAAGAGGACCACGGCAGTCGTAAGTTAGGCAGCGTAAAAGTGTGACGTGGTACGGGGACCGCCCGTGACCACAGTGACGCGGAATAAAGCCATCGTTATCAGGCTCGTGTGTGCTCATTTGCCCGAGATCCCACCCCTCGTGTGCGCTGGACATCCTGACACCCGGCCTCAATCCGTTACCCCGGTGGAATCGAGACCGACCCCCGTCACAAATATATTTTTTCTTTTCAGACCACAAGCAGTTCCTAGAAAATTCGAAGAAATGCTGTAACTACTTTTTCGCCAAATGTGATTCGCGCTACCATATATTATATTTTTATACCAGTTCTATCTAATATAAATCTAATATATATTGTACCTGTGATAATATGTTCGATAATTTTTTGTTTTATTTGAGTATTGCATCAAGTGCAATATTAAATTAAGTTTTATTTTTTATTTAATTTTATAAAGTTATGTATGTATACATTAAATAGCGCACTAACGATGTAATATATTATCACTGTAATGTTTACAAGATTAGTTTATTTTAATTTTCACATTTAACTGTGTGTATGTTGTATGCTAATACCAAAATATACCTATGTATTTTTCAACTAGTGTTCACGTAATTTCCGCGATGTCCGCGCTGCGAAGCACGCGGAATTTTAGAACGCCGGAAACGGCCCAGCGCTGAGCGCGGCGAGAGGGGCGCGAGGGGTTTGAGGCGCGGGAGATCTCGAGATCGAGGAAGGACGAGAACGAAAATAAAATAAAGAAAGTCACCGGTATGCCCGACACAATAAATATATTTTCATAGTCCCGGAGAACGCTCCGAGGGCGAACATCAACAACGAAAGAACAGAGGGAACGACGTTCGAGTCGGTAACGCTCGCGAAGGTGTCCTCCAACAGCGGTCAGGGATCGTAACGGACGGAAATCTTCAGAGACCGGGCTTGATCTGCTCATTAACGGCGCGGCGGAGATCTTGCCGAGCGTTCAGCGAAACGCCCAATCGAGGGCGGATGATCTTGAACGCGAGCCACGGAGATCTTCCCGCGGAGCAGCCGGCCTTTCGCGAGCGCGAATCGCCGTTGACAGGGATCAGTTCCGTCGACTCGACGCCTTTTCAAACACAAACCGCACGCAATGACGAACACAACGTATGATAAAGATTGCGAAAGATGATGTCTATCACGAGATTTCCGCGAACGCGCAACACAGGCTGAGCGGAGCAGGGGAGGGTCCACGCGAAGGCGATGCACCAGGCGGAACTCCGACCGCGAGACGAAACGGAGACGCCGAGGGGCGAGAGCGGTCGGAACAACGACCGATGAGACGCCGGCACGCGCAACGGCGATGCGACGACCGGATCGTGCGTTTGAGCCTCAGAGCGTACTGACTCGGAAACGAGCGGGCACATGCGGTAGCGGAGCAGGCGAACGTTAATCCGAAGTAGCGACTAGCACGACTCTTCGCTAACGACTGTTTTTCGATGATCGACGTTTCCGTCGTCGAGCGGAAACGCGACGAACCGATTGGCGGTTCAACTCACACAACGCGATCGACGAATCAGGCGTTACCGGCAAAAACAGAGGATGCCGGAGCGCGTGATCAGAGGCTGATCACGCGCGCGCTCCGGTTCCCGCGGGCTCGCGTGAACACGTCGCGGCGAGCGACGGCGCGGCGACAGATTGCGCCACGAGGCCTGAACGCGAGCCGATTTTAACTTATTGTCTATAACGCGCAACCCTAATCCTAAACAACTAGTAAATGTATTTTTCAATGAATATAACTGTTTAACAATTATTATATTTTGTTTGCTTTTCGTTACAATGAAATGGATTGAAATAAAATAATAATTTATAATCATAAATATTTTATACTTTCTTATTTTATTTTCAATTTATTAAAAATAAAAGGATTAATTCATACATCAATCATTCACTAATTGTGTAAATAGTAAATATAATATTAAAATAATACTACATGATTATAAGCTTGATTTTATTTGAAATTTTACAATCTTATCTGCCAAATCTTTGTGCTATTAAACGGTCTTGAATTCGACGTGCGCTAGCAAGAGGCCCACGGACAATATTATCCACATTAATATCATAAGCATCATTACAGTTTTCGTTCATATGTTCGTCATGATCAAATTCGTCGAACAGATCATCAAATATGCCATGAGCATTCCGCATATTATGAAGCACTGCGCAAGCGTTAACAATTCTTCCAGTAAAGCCAAGTTCATATTGCAAAACCCTGTGTCGAGAAAGACATCTCCAGGTAGACTTCAATACACCGAAAAGACGTTCGACACAGTTTCTTGCGCTACACAATGCTTCATTATATGCGAAACGTGGAGTTCCTTCCGGTTCTCGGGGCAGAGGAGTTAATAGCCACGGCTCCAATGGATAGCCTGAATCACCTATATGTATAAACAAAATATGCAAGATTTAACTCTAAATCTGTAAATCATATGCCTATACCAGTCAAGAGCGATTTTTGATGCTTGGTCAATATAATAAATTTTAAATACAGTCATTTAGCTACACTAAACTAATACCCCTCTCTCCCCATGTAACGGTACGCCAATAATTTTATCGCACTTTAAACACAGCCTTCCGCTACAATTCGAGATAAAGGAGTGATTATTCCCATGAATTAAATTGAAATTAATAATAATGTAAGAAAAACTGTAATAATTCTTATTGCACAAAATATCACCTAAGCCAGGGTTCAAACCTGGATCTCCTGCTTTACGTGCAGGCGTCTATTTTTCGCAATAAGAATTATTACAGTTTTTCTTACATTGTTATTAATTTCAATTTAATTCGTGAGAATAATCATTTCTTCGTCTTGAATTGTAGCCGGAGGCTGTGTTTAAAGTCCGATAAAATTATCGGCGCACAGTTACATGGGGAGAGGGGGGTATTAGTTTAGTGTAGCTAAATGATTGTATTTAAAATTTATTATATTAACCGAGCACCAAGGTGCTCTTGATCGGTATAGACACATGATTTTTCAGATTTAGGGTTGAACTTTTCACTGGTCTAGATTTCAATTATATATATGTAAGATTTATTTCAGCTCTGTTTAAAGTTCTTTGATACAATAATAAAGAATTTATGTTGGCTTTCAGGCTTTCGCGGCTGTTGTCTTCTTTAGTCTTCATGGCTTCCGGATGGTTGCCGCGTCCGGTTGCAGTGTGGTGCCGACGTTTCGTAGGCATTGCAGTCTGCTTCATCAGGGCTGGGAGACTCTGATACTGAGCTCCCTCGCGTTGCGCTCGTCCTTTTATACTCGTTCT